TAGTAACCCAACTGGCGATAGACTGGAACTCTATCGCCTTTAAAAAAATAAATTTGGCATAACAGAAATGTTTTCTTACTGAAATAAACTACCCTAGTTTTAGAGGAATTGAATTTAAGAAGCCGCTCATTTGACCAAATTTGCAATTTGTGTAAGAAGGAGATGGAGATAACAAACTGTTATCAATATCAAAGTCCATAAAACAATACAAAATAGGAGCAGAGCAATCACGGACATCCGAAACATCAGAGGGGGATCAGGTGCTATGGAGGAGTAAGCATCCCCTGCTGACCAGTCACACCCGCCGTGTGCTCCTTGTCATGATCAGGAAATAACGAAAAAATCCGTTGTCAATTCAGTGTATAAGTAATGGACTAATAATTGGTATGAAAAACGCCAGTCAGCATTTGACTCAATGATAAATTGTTTTTGCTGACAAGGGCATTGTATCGACCATAGAACTTACGAAATGAGGACTTTAAACGAGGCTGCTATTATTCTTGTTTGTCAATAATTTACCTCGTTTTAAAAATTGTTCATACGTAGAACATGCTCTTGCGTATCGAATCAACTGAGATATATACACTCCGTATGCAGGTGATGAAGGTATATTGCTGCATAAGTAAGGGAAGTTGACGATAGAAAAGTTAAAGTCGTCACGTTTATCATAACTTGGTTGTTAAATTACCATTAACATCTTTATCAAGTAAAATAACCAAGTATGAAACAGATGTGTCGGACTCTGTGGTATCTTTTATCTCAAGCTCTCCTGGATATATCGTATCGACGTAGGAATGGAAATTACCATTGTTAATTGACAATACGTCGTCGATATATCCGAAGGTCGAGCGAGTTGAAGGTTACAGCAAGTGTTTTCTTCTTTTCACGCATAAGAGTTTGCATAAATTCTGCCTCATATGAATACAAAAATAGGCCTGCTAATAATGGAGCGCAATTGGTTCCCATGGGAATTCCAATAGATCGTTGGAAGACCTGGTCTCCAAAAACCACATAGATATTGTCAATCAAAAACTCAAGCATCTTCTTGATGTCAACTACCGAGTACTTGTGTGTACAATCAGATTCATGATTCAATTTATATTCTATATTCAATATGTTGTATGATAATCGTTGAAGGGAATGATCATCCGCAAACAATCTACTTATTGAAATCATATTTTCGGCAACTTTATTTATATAAATGAGCTAAAACAGTGGTCCTAAAACAGAATCCTGAGGTACACCTGCTCAACGATCTTGTTTGATGATTATGGATCTTTGTACGTAACTTTTTGCCACTTTTGACATAGATAACTGGAAAGCCATTGGAGAAGATCACCAGATACACCATAAGTTTGTAAGTTAAAAAGAAGCCTTTTGTGCCAAAGCAGTTTGGTCGCTACAATTTTAATTTTAATTAGATTGGTATGATTTCTTTTTTTTAGCAAAACTCAATTCGAGGGGTCGTATGAAAGGTTAAAAATTCTAAGACACATCGAAATTTATCAAATTGTAGTACAGTGTAAACAGTTTAAATGTCTTATCCTCGTTAAATTAGAGAGTAATATGCTTTGAACTGTTTTCAAGTTTGTTTTTTTAAACTATGCATTTAAAAAAACTTTTCTTCTATATGACAGGGCACCCAAAATTTTGACTCAGTCGTATTTTACGTACATCTTGGATGCCTCCACAAGGTACCTACAGCGTGGTTTAGATCACGAAGAACATGTTCAACGTTAACACTGTATTTTTTCTGTTAAAATTCCGCATTTATGTCTAAAATACTAAAAAAAAAATCTTAAGGTTACTTCTCCAAAACTGAATAAAACAAAAATCATACCTTTTCAACAATTTCAAAACTACTCAAGTTTATGTACTTTATTACTTTATTCTTTAGTATGAAAGATCTTCGTTTGTTTATATTCCATTCAATATTGATAAGATACTAAAAAAGTTAATTGAAAAGCAGTAGTTATGATTTCCGTGCTACAAGAAGTCCAATCTTTTTAAAGTGTTAATATTTTTACATCTTGGAAGTTAATTTAAAAATGAAAAATGAATGAATGGACAATAAATAAACATAAATAATTGTAAATAAAGGAAAATATAACTCAATGACATAAAAAACAGATGCCAAATTAACCCGATACCAAATTTACTAGGTGCCGAATTCACTAGGTGCCGAATATAACTGGTACCGAATTCACGTTGCTTGGTGCCGAGTTCACCAGCCTAGGTGCCGATTCCAGGTGCCGAGTTGACTAGAAGACATTGTCAGCGAGTCAAATTATTTAGGCTAAATGTTTTGGGAGTGTGTTATGTTGTTAATGGTTTCAGAGAATATCCTCTAATTTATTGCGAGGATTATTTATCATGGAAATAATCTTAGTTTGACTTTTGTTTACAATATATGAGTTGTTCGAAAGGTCCTACACAAGGTCAGTATTGGTTACATTATTGTCAAAAAATAGTACAGTTTGTGTAGATTAGCACATTAACTATTGTTAAAGTTTTTCAGATTTTTGACATTTTCGCACGACAAGGGTTTTCATATCGCTTCACTTCACTCAGAGCTTTGAGTGAAGTGAAGCGGACCGAAAACCCTTGACTCGGAGTGGAGCGGACCGAAAACGTTTGGTTTGCGAAGGATCTCAATGTTATATATTTGGTTTTTAAGTTATCTAATTCCAAAATGAACATGCATTGTTATCACAGAAAACCTGTATTTTGTTTATGGTAGACATCTCGGCCCAACGACACCTCGACCCGACACACTTGACATCTTGGCCCTAAAAGGTCGGTCCAAGATTGTTGACATGTACGTCGGCCCATATAAAGGGCACCTAGCTCGGCCCAAGCAAAATTTTATGATAGAAAAAATAACAACAACTAATAATCAAATAAACCCACCGTTTGAATTGGTATCATTATTGGTCATGTTGGTGTAATTATTTTTTCTGACAATTAAACCTTTTTAAACAATAAAAAAAAAAGGGGGTGGTTGGTTGATAACCTTTTAATTTTTCCAACTTTTATAGATCTGTATTTCATGTCCATCTATTTCTTGTGAAAAATGTTCATTTGATTGCAATATCGTGGTTGCGACCGTTAGTCCTGTATCCCCCCCCCCCCCCAAAAAAGGAGAAAGAAATATTTTCTTTAAATGTAATTGTTTTATGATATATAGATCTGTAGGTCTATATAAGTTATCGCATAAAGGTTAACATTTAAACGTAAAATAAATAATATTGCATTATTGCATTATTGGTCTGTGTTTCATTGTGTGTTTCTTTTTCTTTATTTAAAGCGTGTTATATACTTGCTTTGATATACCGGTATATACAAGTAGCCTCGAAAAAAAAAACGGTAGGGAACTAGACAAAATGAATGCATTTTTGGAAAGAAATAACCGAGAACACAGGAGAAAAATGTAAATTCTTTAATTACTGACGCTGAATTAGTCTGCTTTAGTTGTAATTGACCCCTGTTGTCACCAATATAACCCTCCAAAATACCAAATACTTATCCCTCCAGAGGATTGCCGCAGCATTTTGTACGTTCATCAATTAGTACTTTAGATAATATCCTTGTATTTTCATTCCTTGGAATATCGTCAGCGTGCTCCTGGAAGGCCTTTCAAAAAGAAAACTCTTGCTAATTTATTTATGTACTTTTTTCAATCAATATTTAATCCAAGTCCTAAAACTGGAAAAAAAATATTTCGTAGTAAAATTTTGCTTAGGCCAAGGTGTCTTATGTATGGACCGACGTGTCTTAAATCTTGGGCCCACCCGTCTGAGCCAAGATGTCATTGGGTGTCTGACATTCTTGTTTATTCATAGCACATATATAAATACTGTAATATGCTCCTCATACATTTCATACTGCACCATGCCAAATCATTCAGAACGTTCTCTTCCATGGCATCAGTTTGTTAACAATTGCTTCGGATGTGTGAGGCGCTGTTTTGGTATTTACTGCCAAAAAGAAATATCACCTATTTGAAAAATTATTAGTTACACAGTCAGTTACTCGGCTTCGCCTCGCCCAATACGGAATTCCATTTCACACCCTGTATAAATCCGTATTAGGTCACTAACTGACTGTGTTACGAATTTATCCTGCTGAAGACCTTTTTCAATATCAAAAAATATTTGTGCATATTATGCAAATTTTAAGTTTTAATCCAATAACAATCAACATAAAATATCGTTACGGTAACAAGAAATTTAACTAAACTACCTACGTAAACCGTTTCTTAGCCGCCATTTTTATTTACAAAAGCAGCGCTTCGAACGTAATCGCGTGCGCGATTTTCATATTACTCCTCGACGGCGACGTAATACGGAAAATTTCAGGGCGTCATGTGATCATCCTTTATCCAATCAGCAATCTACAAATTTGTCTGCAGCGGGATAATAGGTGTTATTATACTTTTGTGAATTCGTTCTATATAAAAATATGACGAATAAATATGCTATCTTTTCCAAACAGCCCCTACCGTGAAATAGTTTTTGTGCTATCTGCTCATGGTGAAATAGTCATCAAACTATTCACCGGCAGCATTCTGTTTCCCTCCATATGACGTAACAAAAGTAAAGTCAGCATCGGTATAATAAAACACCTATTTACTGACTATTCGGACAATAGCAAGTTTATCGTCCCCCTCGACAGCAAACAATTTACCTCGGCTGCGCCGCGGGAAATAGTTTGCTGTCTTGGGGGACGATAAGGCCAGAGTTTTTTTATTTTCTGTTTAACGGGAAGCGCCGACCCAATTTTTTCAAAATATCGAATAAAAATAAAAGAGGTCAATTTCACTTTTATTTTTAAAATACCCGCCGACTGTGTCGTTCATTGATGGTTTGAAATAAAATCGGGTTTGATGTACACCTATTTCTAAAGAATCATGTAAACGTTTGACAAAGCCTGTGTTGATCAAAGTCTTTTTACGAGCGTCTTGTTGATTACGATGTCGTAACCAGTTTAAGGAACTAGTTTATCACGCTTCGCGGGTTCTATCAAGTTATCAAGAAGCAAGAAAGTCATTTCAAGACATTAATAGACGGTTATTTTAAATCCATTGATGATGAAAACAAGCAAGTTCTTGAAATGGGAGTTAAAGCATTGACAACCTAAATACACCAGATGCACATTGAACTGTGGAGCAGGTGTCCAAATAGTTGGGGTAAGTTTTGAGACGTTGTCTTGATATAAACTTTCTGTAAAATTTTTTGAGTGTTTGGCACTTTTATATGTTTTTTCTTCTTTTAAAGATGTTTGCATTCTAGATTTAATTTAATCACATATGGTACATAACAAGTTGAGGTAAAATTCGCGGCAAAATTTTATTTTACAATGAATCGTGTCAAACTATATCAGGGACATAAAATGAAGATTAAAATATTTTAGATACGAGTCCATGTCTATTTGGTTGAATAAAATGAGGCTAGGATTTTAGATACGAGTCCGTGTCTATTTGGTTGAATAAAATGAGGCTAGGATTCCTACAGAATTAAAAGAGTTGGTATAAAATACTGACAAGTGAAGTGACAGCTATATTGGAGTTGCACATATCCTGTGGAAAGGTAAGGATAGAAAGAAGTGGACAATTGAATACTTTAGTGCAAAATGGACAAAGAACGATGTTATTGTTATTTATTTTTATCTAAGAAAAAACTCTTAAAATATTTGTATCTTCATTTAGAAAAGAAAATAATTTCATGTAAATAGTTGTTTTTTCTACTTTCTACCATTTACTACATGAATTTGATTAGCTAATAATGTATCATAAAGGAATTTTTTTTTTTGCAGTTTCATTTCTTGGCAGAGACCCAGCCATTTGTGAAGACTTCCACGAGGACTTTGCTGTTGTTCATCAAAAAGTTCAGCTGACAAATTTCCATTCAGAACCTCAATAATGTGTTATCCCTTTATACTAACATAGCATTGTCAAGTCAGCTATCAACCCCACTGCTTTTTTTAACTTCTATTAAATCATAATATACATGTAGCTTAAAACATTTCTCATCATGACTTTTATAAATTTTATACAATAGATAGATGATCACTTGAAGACCTGTGTAAAATTTTAAGCAGTGTGGTTTTTCTGTCATCTGCGTTTATCCAACATTATTGTTGCTGTATAACAAATGTAAATTATAATATTATATTGATATGCTTTCATACTAGAAAAATGTGCAAGTGTGATTAAGCACAGTAGGATAACTCATGCAATTGTATCTTTTTATCTGTATTTGAAATCCTTATACATTATGAACAAAATTGTATTGTTTTCTTTCGTTTTTCAACATTTAAATAAAAAAAAAATTCATACCAATATTTGGTTTTATTTTTATTATGGCCCGACTCGACAAATTTTGATCTTTTATTTTTATTTTTATTTCGTCCCCTCGACCCAATTTTTTCTGAAAAATTCCCGTTAAACAGAAAATAAAAAAACTCTGGCCTAAACTTGCTATTGTCGTCATAGCCAGTAAATAGGTGTATAATATTACTAATTCAAAAAGGTGATTATTACCTATTCATTTCTAATAGGTGATATCACTAGTTCGAATATTCAAAGAGTTAATATTATTCATATATCACATGGCTTCGAGCGTGACATTATACACATATTTACTGGCTATGAGGACAATATTGAACAACATTGACATAATAGGAAAACTTATCTAAAAATGTTATATCACCTTTTTAAATTGGTGATATCACCTATTAGAAATAAATAGGCGATATCACCTACTCGTGCTGAATAGGTGATATTCAATTTGAATTGGTGTTATCACTAATCTAAATAGGTGATCTCACCTATTTTTATTTCTTACTACAATAAATAATGAATGCTCCGTGGACTATATAGATTTCCACTGGAACCAAGAAAATTCAGACTGCCCAGTTTTCACCTGTATTTTGGTATTACCTTATGTTATGGATTCCTGTTGAGTTATACAAATTTTACCTGGCTTGGAAACAACAGAGTGGCATGTCTTTCACTCTTTCACACATATAATGTTAAGGATGCATTATATCTGTAGAACATTTAAATATAATAATGCATTTTTCACGATTTTTCATATTTCTTATAGTATATGAGTGAACCTTTAAGAGTCATATAAATGATTGAAATTCTGAAGAAAAAATTCTTTAGAAGATAATTATTTACATTAAATATAGTTTGTAGCCACATAAATGTATAAAAACAGCAAACAGCGAACGAAATCAGGGTTTTATGGTAAATTTTGTGCTTACTCTATTAACGAAGATCTTATTTTATAAGAAAAAATAATGTTTATATCATTACAATTAAGAAGTGAAAGAGGAATGGTAGAACATATTTGTATGATTTGTCTTACAATTTATTTTACAGTCTTATCACATGATGAGAAATATCAATTCCAAAACATCGCCACATAGATACAAGTCTACTCCAGAAACAATAATCCTTGCCCGGGTTGCAAGACTCATCCTTGGTCCATGCACATGTCTGCTGCGGGATATTCTCAGAGAAAAAATCTCACCCTCCGATTTATCGAAAACTGTCAAAATCTGGATTGATGATCTCAAAAAGAAGAAATTAAAGAATCCTCTAAATAAACAACAGATTGCTCTCATTTTCCCCCTGCCAACCAAACAATATGGCGGGGATTATTCAGATTTTGACATTAGTTTGCTGTACATTCTTCTGCGTAGCGTGTGTAAAATAATTCCACACAATACGGGATGGGGAAGAGAACCCGATCCCTCAGACAATAGTGTATCTGCCAACATAGAGAGAATCAGACTGACAAGAAACAAGTACTATGGACATGCAGCAGATTTCTCTCTTTCAGAATCAGACTTTATAACGGAATGGC